CAGTAGATATATATATATATATATATATATATATAGGAAACTCCAAACACTTAATAAAAGAATCGTCGAAGCGAACACGCAGCAGCAGTGCAATGAGTGGCTGCCGACTACAGCTTCTGACGCGAAGCGGAGACAGCAGGCAGAAACGCTGATGCGTGTATTACTAGAAGGAAAAGAGAAACACAGCAGTAAACAGGCATAGGAAGAATCTTACTCACTCCACGGCTGACCGAGTACTTTGATCTTCTCTTTCTTCAGCAGCAACTCCGCCTCCACGAGGCGCCACAGCAGGGTGAGCTCGTCGAACGAGATGCCAAACACGTTCGCGCCGATCCAGAAGGTGTGCCGGCGCGCCATCTCCACCGCGCGCAGGTCGGCATTACTGTGAAAGAGGCTCGCGGTCATGGCGTCGTACATAAAACACCGCACCTCGGGTGAGCGGCGGAGGAGGAGGTGCTCGGCCTCGCGGATGCTCTCCGGCGAAATCGACGCCACGGCGTTATCACCGTCCTGCTCACCGCTTTCATCGTCGCCATCGTTGTGCAGCTCCTCTTCCTGCCGAGAGACGGTCGTGGCGGTCTGGTCTGTGCTGGTGGAGGCTCCAGCCGCGGACGGCAGCCCCTCCTCTGCGTCCGCTTCCTCACCATCTCGCAGCACTTCACGCTCCACCTTGCTGTTCTCCTCCGCTGCTCTCGCAACGGGAGCCGCGCCGCCGCTCGCATGCTTTTCCGTCCACACCCCGCTGCGCCGTACAAGGCCGTCTCTCACGCCTTCGCTGCCCTGCTGCTGTTGCTGATGCCGGTGCTGACGCCGCCCGTCATCCCGCTTCTCCCCCTCCTCTCGCGCGAGCAGGCGGATCAGAAAGTGTTCGCGCAGCTCTTCCACGTCCGCCTCCGTTGCGTTGTGCTGCAGAGCGGTGTAGATGAGCGACGGGTCCGGGCTGGTAAGGGCGGCGCAGCCGGCGATCCAATCCCGCGCCATGCGACCCCCACCCGAGGCACACACCAACGCCTTGCAGTACAGCTTACGAGTGCCCATGGCGTTGTCCTCGTAGGCGTTCTCCCACGAGCCGAGGGAGGGCGCGCTCTCTGCGCCGTAGCGGAGCTTGTCCAGCCACCGATTCGCCTGTTGAGAGAGACATCGAATGGAGTGTTGCAGGGCCGAGAGGGGAGGGGTGGAAGAAGCGGACGAGGAGCGGCAGCACGCCGCGGGGATGGCAGCGGTAACAGCAGCGCTGAGGCGAAGGTGCGAATGAGGGGGCGGGCGGCCGTAGCCGCAGCCGCGCGTGACGCATGAGACGGCCCCCGCAGGACGCATTTCTGCGGCTTCACAACGCGTACAAGTCAGAGCAACAATGATAGTAACAATAATAAATCGAAGGAAAGGACGGCCGTCACACTTCGGAGAGAGAAAAAGAGGGAGGATCTGACGCGTATATCCGTGGTGCACTCAATGCGATGGGGTTGGCTTCGTCAAACCAATTTAACACGACACGCAACAGCCACCAGCAATGAAAGGAATGAAGCTGCGAATCGAGTTATCAAAATGGAATGAGAAGAGAGAAGAAAGGCGAGGAGAGGGTGCGATGGTAGCGTGCTGCGCTCGTCGTTCTAAAGCATCCTCCCGACACCACCTCTTTCGGTTTCGAAAGAACACGTAATAAAAGTTTCCCGGAGCGATATTCATGGATCTTTCCGCTTTCGAGAAAAACAATAATGACCTCCACTGCGATATCGAACCACGTGCGTGCGGCCCATCCCTTCATTCATCAGCAACGTAAGAGAGAACATAGCTGGATAGAAGGGACGGGGGAGATCGAGCGAGGGCGATGCCCGCTGGGTTCAGGCACCGTGCGGCTCGCAAGAGAAGATTGCTGCCGCTGAGGGAAGCAGAGAGGCGACCGTTTTCTTTGGTTCTCCTACACCCGTTTCTCAAAGAGGGTATTTTGAGGGAGTAAATGAACTCCACGCGCGTCAACAACACCATCGTCGTGCACACGCAAGTGTGTGTATATATGCTTAGATAAGGATTTAGTGGGTCTGAATGTGACGAGAAAGGCCAGGGTGACATCTACTCTGCTCGCCCTCAACAACAACAACGAGACGGACAACCGAGTAGCAACAAAAAAGATAAGAAGAAACCGAAGTGTTTTTCTTCCTTATGTCTCTCTTCCCTCCCTCAACGCCGATCAGGGCAGCCTCGACAGCGGTGCCATGGTATCCGTCAGCTGCAACCCCACTACTTCGCCGGCACCTCCGCCGCTTCCACCGTCTCCGCAGCTGGCTTGACGACATCCTCCAGCGACGGATCGGCCGTGTTGCAGATCTCATGCATGCGGTACACATCGCAGATACCGTGAAAGGCGAGCGCCGCGTTGTTCGCCCACTCACACGCCCGCACGGCCGTCTCAGCGACCACGTCCACGTCCACCGGCGGCGTGAGCAGCTTTCGACCGCCAACGGCCGTCAGCAGCTTGTCCAGCGGGTAGCCGATCCACCCTAGCGGGATCGAGAGCGTCGTGACCGCGTTCGGGTTTGTCGCGGAGGTCACAAAGACTTGCCGGGTGCCGTAGATCATGCCGGGGCGCAGCACCACGCCCTTCACGCCTAAGTTGTCGAGCACCGCCTTCTCACCAATGCGCTTGCCGTGGAAGTACCCCTTCAGCATTCGCTTACTGCCGAGTATACGCTTCGAGTAGAGGTTGTACGGCTCTGCGGACACGTACACCACTTTCCGTACGGCAGGGACCAGCTTTGGGTGGTACACCCCTGCGGCGATGTTCGACATCACATCTCCGTTTACTTGGCGGGCTTCCTCGTAGTGGCGTGTCAGCAGCCCGACGGTGTTGATCACCGCTGTCGCGTCGGGGTGATCGTGGAGGAGGTGGAACACCTGATCGCGGCTGCTCGCGTCGATGCTGACGAACTCGAGCGCCGTCTCGTCCTCCATCTGATGCACCATGCGCATCAGCTGATCCGCCGACGGCCGCTGCGCATCGGGGCTGCGCGGTATGGATACGGAAGGGGAGGAAGACACGGAGGACGAGTCAGGGGAGGAGTCGGCGGAAGGGAGACGGCCTCCCTGTGCCAGGTGCAGCGCCTCCCGTGCCGCCGCCGGCCCACCGATCATGCGCACCCGCTTGGCGAATTCGTCCATCGGCGAGCCGAGCGGGGGGACGCCGCCTCTCGTGGCGATGACGACCTTGTAGCCGCGGCTGAGGGCTTTCTGCGCCACCACCGACCCCACAAAGCCAGTCCCACCAAAGAGGAGCAACTTCTTATGCATGGCTGACGTGCCTTTCCTTTTTTTGAGGGGCAGGTGCAGGGTAATAACTAAACAAGCAAGACACGCTGATGGCACAGAGGACTCACTGAGGGCCTATCGCTTTACCCAGGTGTGTACGCTTTAACTGCGAAGGTGAAAAGTGGGGGCGGGTAGTGAAGACTGCCAGCACGTGAGCCCTCGAACTGCCGAGGGGTGCGATACGGAATGACAGACGGTAGCAGCAGGGAAAGGCATCAAAAGAGAAGCGGCAACGAACATTGTGAGTTGAAGAGGCAGATCGACGGTCACGATAGCCAGCCGGTATGCGAAGGTTTCAAAAGAGAAAAGAAAAGTTCTACGCGAGCATGACATTTCTAAACCGGCGGCAACAACAACTAAACGAATAAATGGAGAAAGCAACGTCCCAAGACAAAAGAGGAGCTGCGGACACCCGCCCGCCGTGTGCAGGAGAGATATGCACGTCACACAACTCCCAGTCTTCGCGACGTCTGCCTCGCCATTCACTTCATCCTACGAGACGGTGGCAGCGACGACGGCAACCAACTCTCAACGGTTTGAGTTCTCGTAGGAGCAATAACTGTCTGCACTCCTCGCACTTCGTTTGGGGGGGGGGGGTTTGTGACGAAGGTACGTCGACAGGAGTTACAAAAAACAGGAGACAAAACAGAATCAATGTTATACTCCAAGACCGAGAAGTAACACAAGAAACACGCACACCAACGCCGTCTTCAGATGAGCCGCACAGAGACTACGCGCCTTCGCATGGGAGGCCTGCTGCCGCACACACACACACACACACACACAAACAAACTCACCCCACTCTATGGAGAATAGACCCAATTGGTGATGCAGGCAGTATACATATATGTTCTTCTGCGCATTTACATTCACAACCAGCGCACATCATCGTCCACAACCCAGTAACATACACAGACCAGTTGACTTCCCATTGACGGAGGAAGCCACCCCCCGCTCCTTTGCAAAACGATTTTTAAAACCAAGAAAAGGAAACGCAAGGCAAAGTACGCAGCTGAAAAGACTAAACGAAGGGACAAGCAAAGACACTCGCGCTTATTTAGCGATGATGACGGCAAAGTCAGGCCGAAGTGGTGAATGGGCGATTACAACGCCATCATCCTTCCAGCACGCGGCCTCGGGTGCACGGGTGTACCACCGTAGTTTTTCTTTTAGTGCTACGCCTTCGAAGACGGCGCGTCGCTGGTGACGGGCTCCTGGCCTGCAAGGGCGTCGTCCACCACAGGAGCCTCCACACCCTGCGTGCTGTCTTCCCTCTCCTCTGCTCTCTCCATCGAGTCCGCTGCGAAGTCCTTCAGATCCGTCAGCTGCGCGTTGTGCCGCGCCTCCCCCGCGGTGTCCTCCACGCCGCTGCCGCCGCCGAGAAGGTCGGACGGAGTTGCCGGCACGGCCGCCGCCGGCGCTGCTGCTTCCGCGCTGTGGTGGTGGACGACAACATCCGCCTTCTCCGCCCGGCCCTCTTCACGAGGCCGCTTTCGCTCCTGCGAGGTGCGCGTTGGCGGGGAGTCCACCAGCGAGGCGTACGTGTTCGTTAAAAGGCTTCCCTGCGACATGTCGGGCAGATCGTTGTCCTTGAAGAAGCGCGAGCGGCCGACTCCGCCTGGGCGGTAGTCCTTCTCGAACTGGTCGACCAGCGCCAGCACGCTCTCCTTCCCCCGTGCGTGATCGGATGGAAGAAGCTGGTCGTACCCATCACGGTGTAGAAGGTAGGTCCAGAGAGTGAGGCCGGTGCGGCGCAGCTCCTGCAGGTACCCCCGCTCGTCCGCGCGGCACCGCGTGCAGTCCTCGCTGCGGTGATGGAGGGAGTCGCAGAAGATGCACACCTCCGGGAACCGCGCCGAGCGCAGCTGACGGAGGTGCTGCAGCAAGTCGGTGAAGTTGCTATACAGCAGAAAGCTCTGAACGGTGTCGGTGGCGTAGCGGGCAGCGGCCAGCGGGATACGCGCGTCGTCCATCTCTCGAATCGCCTTGGTGAAGGCGGCGGGGAGGAGCTGCCCACCGTGGCTGTACAAGTCGAGGGCGTCGAGCAGCTCGCCGTAGACGGGGTCATCGCGGCTGTAGCGGCGCAGCGCCTGGCGCAGCGTGTGCGGGTCCAACCGCACATCGACCGGGAAGAGGCCGACGTGCTTCACGGCCCGGTAGGCGCGCCGCTCACAGGAGCGCAGGCTGTGGCCCGTCACGTTGCACTCCGGGCACACCGCGACGCGGCGCTCGTGGATCAGCTTCACCGCCAGCTGCAACTCCGCTTTGCGGAAGTCCTTCGCAGGGCGGTCGTCGTTGTCAATGCGCTCCATCGCAGCAGCAACGCGGTAGGCCTCCGCTGGGAACTTCATCACGAGACAATCAGCGTCCTCCAGCACACGCCGCGCCACCTGCAGGTCCCACTCCTCAATCTGCGGCTTCATCGCGCTGAGGCCGGTGCTGTGCCGACGGTACTCAGCTGCTTCGTCGACGTGCACTTGCGGACAGTTCACGGCGGTGTGGAAGGGCTGCAGGCACACGCGACACAGGTTGTCCTTCAGCGCCGCCAACGCCTCCACCTCCTCCGGTACGCGGGCGTACGTCGCCGGGTTGAAGCTGGCGGAGAGGGAGCCGTCCACGAGACAGAAGAAGAAGGAGGCGGTGGCGCGGACTTCATCGAGGTCGTGCCGCGTCCGCGCAGAGACGTCGCGACGGCGGAAGCACATGTCCAACACATCCACAGCGGCCGATAGCTGCTCCCACTCCTTAAAGCGGCGGTTACTTTCAAAGAGGTGCTGGATCTTGTGCATGGACGGGCTCGCCGTGTCGTCGTTCGGCTTCGAAAAGACGGTCTTGGAGGGGAGAAGTTGGTAGGAGGCGTGGCGCCACAGCGCGTGACGCTCCCGCGGCCCTGTCACGGCCCCCCGCACCGTGTCGAAGGCCGCCAGCAGCTCCTCGTACGGCTTCTCATCGCGAATCAGCCGTGTCACCACGTCCAGCACCTCCGGCACCCGCAGCGGCAGCCGCACGTTGGCGGAGTAGAGAATGCGGGCGGCCTGCACGTACGTCAGCAGCGGCAGCGCGGCCCCGCCGGTGGCTGTCGAGACGAGCGCGCGGTGTGACTTCATGGCCGACTCGTCACTGGGTGAGCGCCAGAAGGGGACCTCGCACGGGCAGCGGCTCTCCGTGTGGTCCCAGTAATCGCACGCTGGGCAGCCGCCCTGCTTCTCTCGCAGCGTTCGCAGCCACTGGAACACGATGGGGTGCATCGCCGGGTCGAGCTGGCGCAGCGCCGCCTCCGTCTGCGGCAGCTCGTATGCTGTCGCCCGCACGGTGTTGTTATTCTCACGCGGCACCGGCACCATCGGCCAGCCGTAGTTGCGGAGCAGTTCGATTGCGATGCTCGGCCGCGGGGCGGTTCGTCGCAGCCGCCACAGACTCTCCCGAAAAGCCTCCGGCACCATGAGCAGATCATCCGCCATCGGAGGCAGGAAGTTACCCTGCCCTTCGACCCGCTTCACCATGTCCCGCAGCGATTGGTAGACGTCCGGCCGCCACACGGACTTCCAGGTGGACAGAAATTTGCGGTAGCGCTGCTTCATGAGTCCCACCGCGTAGACGTCGACGTTGCGCGGGCTGAAGCCGTTGATCAGCGAGGACGGGATGACCTTGTCATAGTTCAGCACAATATTGGCGCTGCTGCGCAGTCCTTCTTCTTGGATGCTGCGGACCGACGTGCACCAGCGGTAGCCCACGAGGTAGGGCAATAGGGCGGCGATCTGGTCGCCGAGGGCGGTGCGGAAGATCTCGCTGTTCGCGTCGCCGCACTCCTTGATGACCGCTGTCAGCAAACTCCACGCCCCGGCGCGGTCTTCATTGACGGACTGGTCGAGGGTGTCATCGGCGCTGTCCACGACACGCCAGACGAGTGCGCGGGCGATCTCTCGTGGGTGGGTGCCGGCGTGGTGCTTCGCGAAGCGAATTGCGTTCACTTCCTCGGTGGTAAGGACGGTGGGATCGACCAGGGCGGAAGAGAGCTGCACGCAGCTGCGGTGCAGGAACGGCTCGTCCAAATTGCTAAGGGCCATGCGTGCGGAGGAGG